AAAAATGTTCGTGACATTGAAAAATTGATTAGAAAAAAGTATTATCTATATCATTATAAATTATTTATCGTTAGAATGCTATGTGAAAAAGAAAAAAAAAAAAAAAGAACAAATTTATGAAATAAAAATACATTTCACTAGAAATTGTTCTTTTACAACTTACTATGTGTAACCACAATTGTGTTTAAATCTTAAATGAAGAGAATTCTCGTAATCTGCCGATCTCCGACGCGTATTTTATCGATCGACTCGTAAAACGGAAATGTTTTTCCTTTTTTTTTTTTTTTTTCCTGATCAATACTTATTGTTCAATACAATAATATATGGAACATCTTGTTTTTTTTTTTCTTTCTCAACATGTTGTTCGTAATATAAAAATGAAAAAAAAAACAAACACAAATTATTAAAAATATACCCGTATACTTCATTGACACATTTAATTATTCAACTATTCACAAAAAATTGAGATATAACATGTACGAGATAATACGAACAAAAAACAGATGTGTGCAGATTACACAGGGTAGAAGTGAAACCTTCAAAGAAATCCACCATGCTTCAAAATAATTCAATTGTAATACAGTGCCATCTATTGAAAGAACCTTACAGAATCTAGATAAAAATCTCTGAATAAAAATCTTTCAATTAGTAATAAAAAATAATAAAATAAAACATACAAATTGTGCTATGTGCTAAGTTGGAAAAAATCACGTGAAATAAAATCTATTTCATTTAAGATAAATTGAGTAATTTCGAAATTATTAGTGGACAAACATATTGTGACAACTGAATTTTTATATATAGAATTTAATTAATTAATTAATTAATTAATTAATATATAGGATTAAATATTATATATTGAATTTTATTAATTAATTAATTATTTTTGTTTCATCGATTTTCCGTACTTTCGTTTCACGTTTTTTCGTTTCATGTTATTTCGTTTCACGATTTTCAAATCACCCTGATTCTAAAGAAATTTTCACTTCAAAAATAAATTATGAAAAATATTTGTCTCTATCATTTAACAGATACTACATCTTGTAATTTACTACACGTCAAATGATCCACGCTTGTGACGTACAATAAGATAAGGGTTTAGAAACTTCGCGTGTCTGTTTGATCATGTGTAGGTGTAATTTTATGTTAACACGTTTGATACACAGTCTACCGTTTCCTCTATAACTTTCTCGTCCTTGTAAAATTATCCATACAATCGTTGAAGCATACTAATGCACTACCACCATTACCATCACCATTACCACTACCTTGTTGTTCTTCCTTTAGCGTTCCTTGTGAATTGTACGAATTCAAACGAAAATGATCTTTTAACTTTATGATAAGAAACTTAGAATGAAAATTGGAATATATATTTAAACTCACATTCTCGCATATATCAAAATGTCTTTGAAATCAAATACGAATTATTATACTTCATTTCATTTATAATATAATATAATATTTTTGTTATTATATTTATAAATTATTTAAATATAATTGTTGATCTCTCGTAACGAGTGCAATGTGGAAAATGGAGTTACGAGAAACAGTATACTTGAATAAATTTTTTTAAAATAAATAATTGCAATATTTTTCATAAATAATTGCACTATTTTATGAGAGGAAAATGTAATGATTGAAGTGCTAATTTTTTTTTTTATAAAGTCATAAAATAAACAATTTAATTATCTTAAATTACGATATAATTTCGTTGATTTACTTTTGATTTTTATTCAAATTAATTTCAAACACGTTTATAATATGTGTAATTAATGAAACAATACTATAACTAATAATTTTAAAATAAACTATTATTTAATTTAATATAATAAATTATAGTATTACTATAATTAATAATACTATAATTAATTAATTAAATAATATTCTATAAAAAAAAATAAAAAATAAAATAGCGTTTACATTTGAATACAAGTTTGTGAACCATGTAATATATCTTAATTATTTTGTAAATGTATAAATATCTCAAAAATCAATATTCGAAATAATATTGGTTTGACAAGTAAATAATTGTGCTCATAATTATCAAAGTGGTCTAAGTTAAAATAAAAAAAAAATACAAAATGAGTTTATCAGTTAGTACACATTACATTATTTTAAACTAAATAAATTCAATTTAATTTTCACGATATTGTTAAAAATAAATCGTTAGATAATGTTTGTTATTTCAATATTACATTTAATTGATGTAATGTTCAAATATGAATCTTGAAATATCTCGAAAGAAGAGATACATGACTTAGATCAATTTCATAATTATGGGCACAATTGCAAATTTAATCGATAGGTGGCTTTTTAAAATCACCAATGACTTAGTTACAAGCCCCAATATAACCACGAGGATCATTTTTATTCACTTAAATAAACAAATATATTCAGATGTTTTATGTTTCTCATAACTCACAATTTTTGATGATATTTTTTATTTCGGAGACATCCTCAGTCTGTGAGTATGTATAACAATGTATTTTTTGTTTGTTTGTTTGTTTGTTTGCAGTAAGAATGTTTCTATTCATTATTTAGTGTTTTGAAAACATTTCGAAAATGAGATCCTTGACACAATGTCTCTTCTACTCTTGTCTGACTCTGTTTTCTCCTGTCGTGTGATTCATAATGCAGTATAATAATTGTGGTGCAGTCATGAATCGTGTTAGAGTACGAGTTATACAATATAACAGTGTCACGCATAACGAGAATTCGAATTGTAAAGTTTCATTGGTTTGAAGTGAACGCGTTAAAGGGATAACTTGGACATAATGATATGTTACACTTCTAAATATATATATAGATGGCTAGTTATTTATAGAAAATTAGCATAACGCGTATATTAACACTCGAAACGTTACGGCCTGCACGAAACCACGATTTGCAATGAAATATCGTCACGCGTTAGTTTTTTGCCAACGTGTTAAGAGCAACGAGCCTTTATTTCTTTTTTTCTATTTTTTTTTTTTTTTTTTTCAACGAAATTTTATGAAGATATCGCGTGAGATGATATACACACACATACACACACATGTTTCACACATACATCAGAATCTTTGAAACATCTCATACATTTTCATCATAACGTCCATAAACGCGTCTTATAAAATTAATATGTTTTACCGGACCATGAATTTGATGAACACTTTTGAATTGTATTACGATGAAAGTAGCAATAAAATTATATATAAAAAAAAAAAAGAAGAGAGATTAAGATAATAAGAAAATTGTAGTGATTACGTAACGAGTTTGACCGATAAACACGCATATAGAATTTCAGAAATAAAGAACAATAGGATTAAACCTTTTTGCATTCTTCTGTGTCAAGTGTGACTCGATATTAGTTTTTTTTTTATCTTAAAAGATATCATACACTTAATAAATTACAGAATACAATAGTCTAAATATTACAAAACAAATATATTTAAATTTGCCATATTTTTAAATTAAAATAAATGACAAATATAAAACATTAGCATTGAAAATTACTAGGAAGAAAATTAAAATACAATTTGGAGTGCAAAAAGTATTAAAATATGTAGTTGTTTATTTCAAAGATTTATCTGTATAAAAATGAATAAACAATTGAAAAAAAAAACAAAACAAATATAATAAATAATAAATACCTGTCTAGAGGCAGTCGGTGTTGGCGGTTCGGACGGTTCCTTCGTTTGTTGATGATTCTGCTTCCTTTTACTCTGATTGGCGGATAGTGGGCCTTGCGCCGTACCGGAGTTAGTTCCCCCACCACCGCCGCCGCCTCCCCCCCACTTGACAACATGCGGGCCAGAGCTACGACGCGGCGAGGGTCCCAGTCGTTCTCCGGCATCGGAATCGGGTGGTGCACCGAGCGGTCCACCTGTGGGTGGCGATAGGAACAAATGAGTTCGATAACCGAAACTCTGATGCTCGTGATCGCCCATCGACGATGGATAATAGCCGAATTCTCTGCTTCGTCTAATAGCACCACGTCCGGAAATAACCGATTGACCTCGAGTTATACCGTAACGATTTCCAAGACCCAAACACGTTACACCACCATAAACTCCACTTCCTCCACCAACTCCTACACCTGCACCACCACCACCACCACCACCACCACCAAGTTTAATTTCTCCCAATCCACTACCAACTCCTCCGGTTATTCCACCACCACCACCACCTCCGCCGGCACCCTTCTCCACGCCGAAGTTCTTGCGGAACATAAGATTCATGATTTGGATGATGTGGATAAATCTCTTTTTTTATTTTTATTTTTATTTTTTTTTTCTTCGGCTAGAGATTAGTTTTAAATAATCGATGACATTTATACACTTGGTTGAAACAAGCAAATGCAAAAGCAATGACGATTATGATACTTGTTTGTTGTTTGTTGTTTGTTATTGGTAGTGCAGTTTATAATTCACGTCAAATACCTTATCTCTTATTAAAGTATCATTTTACATGCCCCATGTGTGTAATGTATACATAATGGAACCTGTTTGATGTACGATCCATCCCAAACCGGTCAGACCCCGTTTATTATTGACTCCTCCTCCCTTTACCACTCAAAGAGAGGGAGTATTTAAATTTTCCAGAGAAAACAACATATTTCATCCCCTTCGAGAATAAATATCTCTTTTGTGATCAATGATTAGAATAATTAAACATAAATAATATGTTTAATCTTTGGAAGAACTTGTTTTTTTTTTTTTTATTTACATTGAAGTAATACGTGTTGATTGATGTTGTGTGATGAAAGATGAAAAGAAAGGGGTGTTCAAAATGAAATAAAAAAGAGAGAAAGAAAGAGAGATATTTAATTGAATAGGTTTACAAAATGTTCCAAATATTAAACGCGTTTATAGATCGAATATTTGTTGTTTTGTTTTTTATTGAACCTTGACCTAGGTAATTTTATATATATATAATACGAAGGGGAAACTGGTAAACCTAGTGAGAAGGTTCGCGCACTACTATTACACACCTTCATGGACTGTCGACTTGATACTGCCAGATCGAACGTAACTTCTCTTCCTCGCCCTTCCTTCCTTCTTTCCTTTCCTTCCTTCCTTTACTTCAACGAGCCAAATTCAAAACGGTTGGGTTATAACTCATACGTTCACTCAAGCAAAACCTAGTCATATCTTTTTTTGAAATCGTTTAATTTTTTGGTCAACCTGATTATGCTAAGTTTTTGATTGAATTATTTTATTTGAGGGGAGTTTTAGGTTTTTATTATGATACCTTGGTAATGGTAATTGATAATTGTATGATATAGTTAATGTTTTATATAATATATAGATATATATTATATATCTATATATATAGAGTTTAAGTTTGATATTGTATATAAGTATTATATAGTTAATATATAATTATTTTAATAATTAATACATTAATATATATTTATATTATTTTATATTTATAGTATTTTATATTTATAGTATTTTAAATTTATATTATTTTATATTTATAGTATTTTATATTTATAATTTATAATTATATTATTTTATATTTACAGTATTTTAAATTTATAATATTTTATATTTATAGTATTTTATATTTATAGTATTTAAAATTTTTAATTTATATTTATAGTATTTTAAATTTTAAATGTATATTTATATTATTTTAAATTTATAGTATTTTATATTTATATTATATACATATATATAAATTAATTTATTATATATTAATAAATTATAATATATAATATAATAATAATTGAAATAGTTTATAAATTTGCAAAACCAATTTCTGTATTTTATATTTATTTTTTGAACATAAATAAACCCATATATCTAAATGATTATTATTATAAATTCAATTAATATTCAAACACCTTGGTATCATAATAAAACCCATGAAACGAATACAATCAATTATTGTTTTTTACTTTCAATCAATTTTATTAGAACAATATTATTTCTAATAACAATAAAATATTATCATTATTAATTTAACTTCCACTATTCGATCGTAATTTTGATCTAAATTGATGTCTAATAATTTACGATTAGTATTCAATTAGAAAGTTTTATTTGAATTCTGTGTTTTTTTTTTTTTTTTTTTTTTTTTTTCTTTCATTTGGAACTAAGGTGTCACATGCACGTGTCGAATCTCATTTTCGATTACAAATTGAACTTTACAGTAAACTAATTATCACTAATTACTAACTACAACTGTTACACGTTCAATTTCAACATTGTTTTCCATTCGTTTAAAACTTTTGAATGAAATCAAAGAAAAAGAAGAAGAAGAAGAAGAAGAAGACGAAGAATTTGTTGAAATATTCTAACTCGATTGTTAACTATCGAGATTGTTTCTTTTATCGATTCTTTCACGTGTTGTTGTCAAACTTTAACATAACTATCACTTAAAATACTACTTTACTCAATTTAAGTTATCTTCTTGATGATCCTCTTAACTTAAATACATTCTATTATTTCTATTTCTATTTCTATTTCTATTTCTATTTCTATTTCTATTTCTATTTCTCTCTTTCTCTCAGTTTTATTCTCATTTTATTTTATTTTTTTTTTATTTGATCTCTTGGCATGTTGGTGGTGTCTTTGGCAAATGTACTAGACAATAACATTTAAAAACAATTTTTTAAAAGCGACAAATAATTATGCAAGAACGTTTGTTATTTAGTTATTTAAAAAAAAAAAAAAAGCATACGAAATTATTATACAGAAACACAATTATAACAATAACAATAATATTATTATATTTTTTTATTTTTATTTTTTATATTTAATATTATTAAGTAATAAATATATAAATATATATTTTTTTTTTCATTTTTATAATTATATTATAAATATTATATAAATTATATTATTATATAAAATAATATATATATATATATATTATTATAATATATATTATATTATATTAATATTTTAATTTTATTATATTATTATAAT